TCTGATACGCATTCCACGGAGCAGCCCTTCCCACGGCCAGTCAGCCCTGTGACACAGAGCACATGTGCGAGCGTGTGTGACATGTGTCCAGCCCTACGTCGGCACGTTCCCAGGAGTATCTTGTCCAGTTTTCTCTGCTGGGGCGCTTTTAGACTCTCTTGAATTGTATTTTCATGTCTTCCTTTTATTTCCTTGAACGTATCCGATGTCATAATTTCACATCCCACATCCGATAAATCAGGGCACGTCTGATGCCACGGGCGGCTGTCTTCCTGGTCATGCGCTCGGTGGCCATGAGCTCGTGCTCCCTGGAGCTGCGTCTGAGGGAATTCTCGAAGGCTGGGTCTCATGGGGATTTCTCTAGAGGGCCTTGCTGTGTGTTTCTGCTGGGCACCTCGGGTGAGAACTAGCCAGGATCACTTGAGTCTGCGTTGCCATTGTTGGGTGACCCAGAGAATGCATTCGGGCCAGGAGGGGCTGTGTGGGCACAGAGGCGCCAGGGGCTCGTTCTCGCCCTCCCGGTCCTGTGCCAGTGCTCTGTCGTGAGCCCTTGTCTGTAGGAGGAATTTCCGTCCACCTTGCCCTGAGGGCAGAGCCCTGCCCCACCCCGACCCCAGAGGGTGGCGTCCCTCCTCTGGGCCCCTCGCTGCTGTAAACGGATCGTCAGGGTAACAAACCTGGATGTGATTCTTGACTCCTCTCCCCCCTCACTCATCACATCCAGTTGTAACTGGTTTGTCGAACAGACTTGGCTTGTGATCGGATCAAAACACACCTTCCGATGCTCGATGCTCGTCCAAGTGAACCACAGGGAGACCCCGTCAATTTGCACAGCTTTTGCTTCCCACTCCCGGATAATAGACAACCGTGTTTGCTCTAAGTGTTAAATACTTGATTGAGGAATGAGAATTTCAAGTCCTAAGGACTCGCCACACTCGGGTGTCTTTGCCTGGCTGGAACCTGCTGTGTCCCCTCCAGGGTCAGATCGGGAGGGCAGGGGATAAGGGAGAGGACACATATACTTACACTGCTCTGTGCCCAGCTGGGCTCTCGCTGACCCTTCCTCTCAGGGAGAGCTGTCCTGTCTTCTTCGGGGGGTATTGTGCCTGGAGACCCCCCACCCAGCCTGTGCACACTAACAGGACAGAGGCCTCTCTCTCTGGAAGTTACCTGGAATTCTTCCCTCAGCCCTGAGCCCGCTGCCACACCACTTCTGCTCCAGACAGGGTCTCCGAGACCCCCACACTGGCCCCTTTCCCACGTGGCCATGCCTGATCTGTAAGACATTTTCTCACATCCTTCCCCCTTCACACAAGCCCTGTGAACACAGGCCCACTCTCTAAACGGCCCCGCCCGAGCCACCCGGAGCAAGGGCCACCCCGTGGCTCTCTCGATCCCAGGCCTGAGCTGCGGCATCCCCAGCAAATCACAGCTGTCACCGTGGGGCTTGAAGCAAAGAAGCTGCCATCCCCCCACCCGGTCCTCTGGGTGGAAGGGAAGGAAGGGTATGACAGCCCAGACTTGGCCAAAGTTACCTTCCTTCCAGAACCCTCTCTCCTTCCTGTCCAGGGTCTGTTCTGTCCTCAAGGAAGGCGGGGCTCCAGGGTCGAGCAGACCTTACTTGTTGTCTCGAAATTCTGAAACATCATACCTCATGTGTCTTGGGGACTTGGTAGGAACTTTAATTTTCATGACTCAGTCATGAAACCCTGTTCGTTGTAACTTCTCGATAACCCTGTTCTTCCGCAAGCCGGGACCCCACTCCGTTTGCCCGGGAAATGGCTCCTCATCCTTAGAGGTGACCCCAGATGCCACCACCGCCTCCGTGGCTTCTCCAGCTAGGGTTGACTTCTCATTTACCTCTGCCCCCGCGTCTCCTTACGCCTTTCTTTCTCCTTGCATCAAACCCGCATCGTGTGTGTTCGCTCACCTTCTCTTCCTCGTGGCTGCGAACTTGTGCGGGCCACGAGCCACAGCCCTTTTTGTATTCCTGAGGCTGCTCACGGTATCGAGCACTGTGAGGTGTTCCGCAGTCCCCTGGGGAACTGAGGTGAATGAACGTGGCCAATCCGGCATTCTCTTCGAAGCAACAACCACGCAGCATTCAGTCCCAGGCTTCCGTGTTTAAATCAGGGGAAAACTTAACCACGGCGGGGTGGGGGGGTGCCGATCAGCTTTGTCTTCTCTTCAAGATGTCCCCCTCCTCCCCGCCATCTGGGCGTGAGCCTTTATTAAGCTCACCCTTCCCCCTAGTATTTGGGGGGGATCATTTAGGCCCGGGTTAAAGAGGACCCTGACCTCCTATAGATTTGGTGGTCTGGAGGTATTCATTGTATTCGTGGAAATGGTGGTAAATGTGGTGGTAAACAATTTCTAGAGATTACTTTTTAAATGTGTATTTACTTACTTTGAGAGAGAAAGCATGCACAAGCAGGGGATGAACAGAGAGGGAGAGAGAGAGTGAGCACGAGCAGGGGAGGGGCATAGGGAGGAAGAGAGAATCCCAAGCAGGCTCCATGCTCCGCGCCGAGCCCGACTCTGGGCTTGATCTCACCACCATGAGCTCGTGACCTGAGCTGAATCCAAGGAGTTGGACGCTTAACCGACTGAGCCACCCAGGCACCCCTTTAGAGATTTTGATATACTTGCTTTACCTGGATAAAGACACAGGCAAACAAATATTCTAGCAATGAAATCATGTCTATAATTGAACATAGGAAGGCTTTTTATTTTTTTCTTCTGTGACGTCCAAGTTCACTAGAACTGTTTGCACTCAAGTGTAGGGGGAATCATGAGCACCTCATGAGGCATTTCCTTTCCAATTCTGTCACACCAGGTCAAAATGCTCTTGTGGTAAAACACAGGCCTTGATTTAGGCTGGCCCCGAGGCTTTTGTCCTCGCCAAGCAAGGAAGTGGCCATGTCCGCATCCTGACTCTAAACTCTGCGCTTACGCCACGGAGCCCGCGACATCCGTTGAACCCCAGAGAGCGAATCTGCCCTCACGTCTTCGCCCAGATGCAGCATGAAATCACCGTTCCCACTGGGGGCATCTGGCCTCCATACTCACTTTAGCCAAGATAGCCCTCCCCGGGGTTTTAATGCAACCTATCGTTTAGCCAAGGGGATGACGGGACACGTGGATTTTTCACAAGCTTCTGGCCACAGAGCAGTAGTTGTCACACAGTGTATGCATGAATGTTTCTGGACTTCTCAGGGCACTGGTGGCAGTATGCTCCTGAGATTGTTTGACCTTGTTTTAAATTAAAGGTTTTGTTTGTGTGTTTGTTTGGTTTTACATTTTTAAGATGTTTATTTATATTTGAGAGAAAGCAGAGACAGAGGGAGGCACAGAATCTGAAGCAGGCTCCAGGCTCTGAGCTGTCAGCACAGAGCCCCATGCGGGGCTCGAACTAACCAACCCTGAGATCATGACCTGAGCTGAAGTCAGAAGCTTAACCATCCGGGACACCCAGGTGCCCAGACCCTATTTTAAACGTTGACTCAACACGTGCACATTGCACAAGAGTAAAATCGAAAAGGCTGCACAGAGCTCTGAGCTCAAAGATCTGAAACTGTCCATAGCTCTCTGATGAGCATTTCTTAAAAAAAAAAAA